GGATCGATGACGCACCGAAGGTACCTCGTTTTGTTTTATTATAATATCAATTAAACGTCGATTTGTTTCAAGCGCTCCCCGCATCGTCGGCATTGCTTTCGCGCACACAATGATACTACGATCCATAATAATTAATCTTTTTACCGCGTAGGAGGAGCAGCACGTCGCCCGCCGAGGCAATTAGTCGCGACAATTTGGTCTCGCGCGATTAATTGGATGCAAATTGGATGGGATACTTGACAGAGTGTTTATGAAAATATCAAACGTTTGGCCAGCTACTCATATTTTATACGATAGGAGCAATTACGAATTATTTACTCGCCCTTTCTCTCTCTCTCTCTCTTTCTCTCTCTCTTTCTCTCTCTCTGTCTCTCTCTCTCTCTCTCTCTCTTTTCCTTCTCTCTCTTTGTCTCTCTATTTCTCTTATCCTCTTTGATGTGCATCATAAAAATTTCCAACAAAATTAATTGTCGCAATAAGGAATTCTAGCTAATGAGCAATTTCATATGTTCCCGCGTAATCTCCAAAAGATATTTCGAGGATAACAGCTGCTCCCTATCCAGTTTCCTCTCTGAGAGGAAAATGAAAAGCAGCTTTGTTATTTCCACCTTTCCGTTTTCTCTCATCGTTGTATTGCTATTTCATTCCTTAATTCGGTCTATTGAAAGCAAAAGAAAAAAGAAAAAAAGAAAAAAAAAGAAAATGTCCCAGTGACAAACTTTTAATGTCATATAAGAGACAAAAAGAATACCACACCTAGGCGATTTATCTCAGTGATTTATCTTTGTGTTGTTCTTTCTCAGTGTTAAAGTATAAGTTAACATATAGCACGGTGAAACGAAGAATAGTAGTGATGCCGATAACCGGCGCATCTTCGACGTCTTCGAGGAAACGACAGGGCCTATAGCCTACTTTCTCTACAAAGAGAATTTTTAAACGATATACGATGAGGAGGTTTCCCTCTCCAACTGGCCTGACTTCTCTCTCTCTCTCTCTCTTTCTCTCTCCCTCTCCCTTTCTCTCTCTCCCCCTCTCTTTTCCTCTCTTTCTCTTTCTTTCTTTCTGTCTTTATCTGTCTGTCTGTCTGTCTGTCTGTCTCTCTCTCTCTTTCTCTCTCTCTCTTTTTCTCTCTCTCTCTTTCTCTCGGGGTTTTCTCGTTGGTCCTGCTACCACTACTCGACTCCTTTCTTCGATTCAACCGGCCCGTCGCTCCTCGTGCACGCTCCTCATCGGCGACTTCATCAACAGCGGCAATGGTTCTCTACGTTGGTACCCCTCTACGGGAGTCTATATAAACAGAGGCCTCCTACGGGTCTGAACATTTTTTCGTTCCTCCTACAACCGCGTCGTGGTGTCTCCTTGTATTCTCTTTCGTATTTTTTTTTTTTTTGTATTTTACCGCGGGAGAAAGATGGTGCTCGTAACTTGAACGATCGAGCATAACGCGCGCTACGTTCGATACCAGCGCCGGAAAAAGAGGAAAACGAGGATTTTTCTCTTATTCGTCGTTTTCTTCTTATAGTTCTTTTTCTTCCTTTTTTACTTTATTTTATTATCAAGTAACGGAAATCGAAGAAAGAAAAGGACCAGTTTTATATAAGCAGTGCCGTTTACACACACATACACACACATACACACACTCACACACACACACATATATATGTATATAAATTATATGTATTTTTTGTGTGCAGTGCGGACACAAGTTTTTACGATTGTTACGGTGCTATGCTCGAAGTAAAGGTAAGTGACCGGCGTTCCGCCTTCTTTCCTTTCTTTTCTCTCTTTCTCTTTCTCTTCCATTTCCGCGACGCGGCCTTCACCTTCTCACTCACTCAACACGAATTGAATCGTAAAGAAAGTCTCAATTCCATACTTTTCCAATTCATGAGATTTCCAAAATCGTCTTGGCTGTGCTTCAACGAAGTTAAAATAATAACTAATGGTATTCGGTCTCTAAAATTAATTTTCTTCTTTTATTTCCTTTTTAAGAAATGATTTATTCGTTGGTGTGATCTCTTTTAAAAGAGAAAGTGAATGACTAAGTTAAATTGTGGAATTAAAACGAATCGTAAGTAATTTTTGAACGTTCCTTAGTTACGTGATTTTTAAAAATTCTTTCGAGATATATCGTCAGAATATGAATTTGTTCTTGATAAGAAATTAAGTTTCCGTTTTTTATCGGCCATCAATATTGGTTGATTAATTTTCTAGTTGATAAACTATCCAATTTGTAAATCTCTCTTGAAATTATTTATATCCTTGAAGATAACATCGTAAAATATTGTTCATAAAAAAGAACGTTTTTAGATTTTAATATTCTTTAAAAATCGTTCGTGAGATAAAACGGTAATAAATATAACGAGGAAGCATTAAATATCTAAAAATTGAACGATGGAACGTTGAAAAGTGAATGTGCTTAGCCGGAAGAAAAGGAAATTAATAGCAATTTTGTGCATCGAATCGTCCGATAAGAAGCTCCTAAGGTTTGCCACGATGTTACGCACACTTCGTACATGATTAGAGTATATGACTATGCATGAAGAAGGCGTTTGACCCAGTCACAACGGTAGCACGAACACGTTCACTTACCTATCTACCTACCTACCTACCTATCTACCTACCAACCTTATGCACGGCCTACGCCTAAACTACAATTCGCACATATAGACCCTTTATGTTCGTGGAACATGCAAACTAAACTGTTCTGATTGTGAGCTTACCATAGCTTGTGTGTGTGTGTATATATATGTGTATACGAAGAAAAGTAGGATGTGGAAAGACCTTCACCTTAGTTCTCTTTATTAATGCGAATGACTTTAAGAAAGTGAATTCATGAGAAATTGAGTTCTCTCAAATCGGATCTTTAAATCAATTATCTCGAATCCTTCAAAAGTTCTATTTGATGCAAATAGCTTTTTTCTCTATAAATTTTAAATCTCGCAATTAATAAGAATGTTTTTTCTTATCCTTCTATCTCATCATGACATCAATAACGAGCAATGATTCTTTCTGAAACAAAAAATTCTTCCTTTCATATTTTCTCGATTAGCGTATCATTCAATCTTCAATAGTTTTTAAGAGAAAATTTTTTAGTTTCGAAAGAATTTCATTTTCAATAAGCGCAAGTTTTCTTATCTTCGTTTGAAGATTTTTGCGAAAAAGTAAATACGATACCAGGAAATAGAGATCGATCGTGTATATAATTTCACGTTACTTAAGTTTCATGTGAAAGAAAAGTGGCACATGTTTATTTTAATTGCACAACCATAATCTTAGTTTAGTTAATTATCCTGCGAAAGCTTCCTTTACAAGTTATTCTTTTTTCTTCTCTTATCCTTTTGGTTGGAAAGAGCGAGATGATGCAGCGAATCGAGGTAATGAATTTTACTAAAACGTCAAGTTAAAGTATACCCGACCCCGCGAATATTTCTTACGGATGCTCTTAGGAGAAAGTATGGTTTATCGTGTTAGTCTTGCATCTCGGCCATCGTGCCACTTTAAGTGTACTCATGCTGGATTCCCACTGTCGTTGACGAGCTTATGAGATACACGTTTCGATTTACTTCTACCACTAAACCTACAACTTGTTTCGCGTGATACCAAGTGTCTCCATTTGTTACGAACGATCTCGTAAAATTGATATAAATAGTATCGATACCATTTCGCTTGACAGACCGTACCAGTCTTACAGAGCGATCGTTACTTCCGTTTTTCTTACGTAAACGTCCGATCGAACTACGAGATAGACTTGGTAATGGTAGTGTCTCGTAAATAATGTATAATCATGAAAATGGTATTAAACTTTACCACCGATGGTCGAAAGTGACGTTGGCGACCTAACTTCGTTAGAAAAATAAGAAAGTTTCTATTGTCTTCGAGATTAATTTCACCGTCAAGTAAAACGACGTTGTCGTTGTTCTTATACGTTCATAAATGAAAGAAGAAGATCTTGATGAGTCGAGGTTGTGAAGAAAGCCTCATGTCAAACTTAATACGGAAATAATTTTCTGCATGACCAAGGAAAATAGCTGTTGATCGATCGTTATTCCTCCCGTCGAAACTTCTTTACTTATTGTCTTTCGTTGTTTGAACATAAACCACGAACATTATTAAAGAAAGCATCGTAGTTATTTTACGATTATATCGTTGGCTACCCGTATAACGCTTGTAGCGATAATACTTTCTAAAGGCTTCGTTATGGTAGAGACGTGACAAAAATGATAGGTTGAGGGTATTATTCGTTACAATCTAATAGTTTTAATAGTATAAATTTTACATCTAAAACGAAACGATCAGAGATGGTTTACTTTTTTAAATTTAATTGGAACATACATCTACACATTTTACTTTAATAAAAGCGTCATTAATCAGGATAGACAATAAATAGTATACCAACTTACATTTTCACTTTGCCCTACTGACTGTAATTAGCCGCATTAGATTCCTCTAAGGCGATCATTCATTTCTCCCTTTTACTTAAGCGACATGTCGAAAGAAATTCTATCTTCCTGGGACTTCAGCACGAACGTCGTGTATTTCGTTACAGATCGCGTGATATCTTTCCGTGTAATGAAATTATTCACACGCGTACGTATCTAAAGCGTGTTGTAAGTAAATGGAGGTTTACATAATTTTCACGCACGTCCGTACTTTGGAGACTATGAGCTCACTTTATATGAGCTAAAGGCTTACTCAGTATCTCATGGCTTATGAAGCGTCGAGATGATTAAACCTACTAGTTTATATCTATGGGAAACACATGATGATATAAATCGCGTTCAATTTAAAAAAGAAAATTCGTTGTTAGCTGGATGAATTATTATGTAAAAATTAAAGAACTTAACAAATTTTATATTTAATACGATACACCATATACGAGAGGTTTAGTGGAAGCACAGTCATTACGAAAGTTATCAAATATAGCAGTTATCTCATTTCTCGTTACTTCTACGTTATTATTCCTTCGTCCAATCCCAGGTGACCTATTTTGATTATAGATGACAATCGTGCTGGTTTGCGCGCTGCTGATCGGCCAGCACGTAGGAGCGGTGGTGAACAAGGCGTTGCCGCAAGCATCGCCCAGCGAGAATCCTGAGGAAAAGAAAAATGAGATAAAAGCCAACGAAAGAATAAGCAACTCTTATGGACCACCCGCCGACGACTATGGACCACCGATTGTATCGGTGAATGGTGGTTTCAATGGACCAGCACCAGTCTACGGACCGCCGTTAAACATTAAACCTCATTACGGGCCACCAAAACAAACTTTTGGCCCAACGAAGCTTCACTTTGCTCCGCTAAAACAGCACTTCGGACCGCCGCCGCTTTCCTTCCCTTCGTTTAGACCACCAAAACCACAGTATGGACCACCGTTAAAGTTGAACACGCCTCCACTCGCCGGTTTCCCACCGGTATCGTCTTTGCCAAATCATTTGGGACCCGTTAAGTCTGGACATGGACCACCCATTCCTGTATCCATCGAATCTTATCGACCACGACCCGAACCACTTCCTCTTCCAGTGAATCCAGAGTATGGACCACCACCTCCACTTCCACCTCCTCAATTATCTATTCAGTACGAATTGAGTAACGCTAATATTCATGGACCACCACCTCCACCTCCTGCAGGAGTTCCAGCACCTCCCACTCCACCTGATATAATGTACGATGGATGGCAACCCATAGCTGGACTTGCTAATCAAAATCAACAAGGACCACCGTTGAAACAATATTCATCCTCCGATGGTCATCATCTCAAGTACGTCGAAGATACGACGAATCCGAATGTGCCCAGTGATTCTTACGGTGTACCCATCACTAATCCAGAAGCTCAACATTTGAAAACTTCTGTCCGTGAATCCTCTGGCGATAAAAACGGATTGCCTCCACCACCATTACCAGTGTACGACGGTGATCATAATTCGAATACTCACGCATCATCCTCATCGTCCTCCTCTTTCCATTCGGATCATCATCAACATAATCATCAGCAATCAAACTTAAAATACAACGTTGGAAACTCAGATTCTCTTTCGATCGTGAAAACCGTAGGTTTTGAGTTGCTACCCAATACTGAATCTTTGACCTCAGATCTTCAAAGTTTGACTCACGGAAGCAATTCTGGTGTTTCCTCATACGAACATTCATTAACGTCCCTAAACATCGATGGTGACTCGAATTCGGGACATTCTGTATTACCATTGCAAGAACTGGATGAATCGTCTCACGATGCTTCATTCGGAAACGGAGAATCTCACGGAGTTCATAACGTCAACGATATCACCTTGCAACAACTACCGGGACTGACATCAGTTAATTTCGGAAAGGTCAATGGAATCGTCGGTGGTTCTTTGCTTCCGCCACCTACTGATTCCTATGCAGCACCACCACTCTCTTCATACTCATCAGATGGACCTTATCCAGCAGCTCAATCTGGTCGAACTGGACCAACATTCTCACCGTTTGGACATTTCGGTACTTCCTTCCAGAAACATGGCTCGCATCATCATAGATTTCACGGACACTTTAGATTACACGGTCCACCTTCATCACCTCCAGCATCTTTAATACCACCTAGAAATCGAGAACCGATCAAATTCCGAGAGCCAATTCCCATAGCACTGATATCCAATCTTCATCGTTACCTTCCGTCGTTACCTCCTATTGACCTGACAAAGCCACTTAAATTACACGCTCCTCATCTATCGTTCGGCCCTCAGCTACCTAGTTTGAACGCTCCTCTTTCATTTCATCAATCATCTGAATCCGATCATTCCTTATCGAACACCTTCTCTAACAGTGGATCTTTCGGCAAATTCAATTCTCACAGTTTGAATTCTCCAATGGCTGCACCCAATGCGCAATACGGAACTCCATTATCCTTCACGGATTTCAATACGCCAGCTCCGGTTCCAACCTATGGTGCACCTAATTTTGGACCAGCTTCTACATTTGGTTTCACGTCAAATGGCTTTGGGACAAATCTTTATGACGGAATAGGAAATGGTCTGACCAGCGTTTATGGAACTCCTGTAATAAATCCACCTCTAACGATTACTACTGGTGATTGTAATTACCAGCAGTTCAACAGTGACACGGATTTTGGATTTGACAAGGGTACCAATCACTTGTTGCCACCCTCTGTTCTTCCAGTGTTACCAAGTTCGACAGGAGAGGAAGATAATTCTTTACTCAAATCACCACCAGCTTTATCTTCAATTTCGGATTCTTTGAATTCGTATATTGCACCACCTGTAAACACGTTAGATTTGGAGAATTATGAGCAACGGAAAGTTGGCTTGAAAGATAGTTATGGAAATCCAATAGGAGTTTCTTATGAATCATCGAATCAAGCGATTGATTCGGACGTTCAAAGTAATGATCATGTTCATTCGTCGACTGCCGGAGTAACAAATATTTTATCTCTTTCCTCTTCCTCATCATCATCATCATCTTCTTCTTCCTCTTCTTCTTCCTCTTCTTCTTCTTCTTCTTCTTCTTCTTCATATTCTGGCCCATCCCAAAGTTCTTTCTCTCCTGGAATATCCTTACACCAACATGGAACCTCTGCCGAGGCCTTAACAGCTAGCTTAACGGCTCAAGGTTATGGCGAAGCTAAGAGTCTTAGCTCGAACGAGGTAGATGCTAGTCAATACTTGAAGACTGATGAAGGTAGTCAAGCATTAGCTCTAGCACAAGGTCTGACTGCTGATGGTCCAAATGGCTTTCAAATTCAGGGATCAAAAGGCACGTACACTCTACAGATTCAACCTGCTGATGGTGGATTAGGAACGGAAAATTCTGACGGTAGCATAAGACACGATCAAGTTCTTTCAAATGGCCTTCTTCAAGATATTCTTGCGGCGATCGAGCAACCAGATCAAGGTCGAGTCGAACTTCAAGGTCCACCTCAATCTCAACCATTGGAAGAAGTTCACAGTGATCAATTGTCTGGATCTAACAGCATCTCTCATCAGAATGGACATTATATCACGGTTCAAAATAAGGAGGACGAAGAGATAAATCAACTTATCCGACAAGTCAGCGATAGAAGTGGTCAATCATCCAATAACGACGAAAGAAATTCATCTAAAAGCGAAGCAATCGCTTTGTTCTTTAATAATCAATATGTGGATAACACGAGAAAGGATACGAGATCTGTGAGCAAAGTGGAGAAACAAGCGAATACTTCGATCTCCGTGAAGAATTAATAAAGTGAAATGATATTTACCTGAACTTTTTCGTGAAATAGTGTGCCTGTGAAAATTATCTAAATACGTGTTAAGAAAAAATTGTGTCGTTACTTTCGATATCAAGTTATGCTCTAATTTAGATTCTTTTTAAAGATATTTATCGAAACTAAAACTCTGTGTTAGATTTTAGATTTATGGTGCTCCGTCATTGTCTTTGATCGTGTTCGAAGATCAAAGATATCCTAAAGGAATAAGAAGACGTGCTTCGTTCGTAGCAGAAACTAAACGAGAAACACGATAGTCGCTGATCGATTCGTATTAAACGCGTCGTTGAAATACCACTTGAAGTAATCCGAGTAGAACGTGAGAGAAGTGAGAAAAGAATCGAGGAGGAGTTTGTTCAACACTCTTCTCGTTTGCCTTTGGAAAAAGGGAAAGTGATAATTACGCGTTGGCTAATGTATCGATAACAGGTTATTAGAAGAATAATCTGCTTACTTAAGAATATCTCACCTCGAGTTACTCGGGTGTTACGAGTGTTCTTAGAAAGTTTAGAGTATCATTATCGTTCTAATACCATTCTTTATTTATTTTCTTTCTTTCTTTGCCGAGAGATTTTGAGAAAGCAGGTTCTATTATCAGGGCGAACTTAATTGCAATATAGTAAAGATTAAAGATGCTCCAAAGTGTAGCCTGAAACTAACTTGTCTCCTCTTTAATACATTTATCTATTCTAGGTCAAATAATAGAGAAGTTATGCGTAGAGAAAAAAAGAAAGTTCATGATTAATTATTAAAGGAGATTCGTCGATTCTTTGTTCTCATTTAAACATCTGTGAATTTTGGTGCCCCTCAAAGAAAAGAAGAAATCGAAAGATGAAACGAACCGACTTGTGATCCTTAGGAGAATCAACTCCATGTTGTACTTTCGATCGACGAATCTAGGTCATCGGGCTACGGGCTTTGACTCGCCGTAGTGAAATGTGTGTTACCGTCGCTCTCTAACATTCGCCAAGTGTACTCCTTCGTTCAAGGTGAAAGTTCAAAATCTCAGTTAGCAATCCTTCGATAATCGCGAAAATCGTGTCTCCCGTAAAACATGTTTTTTCGTTCTATAAACTCATTCTTTTTCAACCAATGCACATACACACACACATATATATATATGTGTGTGTGTACGTGCATATATATGTATGTTTTGCTTATTTTTAAAAATTGCAATGAGTTATTTTTCAAAACTGTGAAATTTTTGTATATTCTCTCGGAATCAAAATTCTCAGACAATTTGTTATTACATTCTTCGATATCTTTCTTTACGATGTTGCCCAGCGAATAGTTATGCATAATTCAGTGATACGTTTTAGATGCGTAAAATAAGTAGAGCGTCTGCTTTTCGAAAAAGACGCTCATTGTAACGAAATATAATTACATAATGATGCTACTACCAAGCCATAAAGCACGTCCACTTTGCTCCTATTTCGCGTGCACCATATTTTTTTATTGATTAATTTATTTTTTTTTTGTACAAAGAGAAGAGAGCTCCGATACAAAAGGGCCCGATGTTTGTCCACAACGAGCGATCATTGAAAATCACTCGTCCGATGTGTATGTCTGTGTGTGTGTATGTGTATTTTTTTTTATACACCGCGCGAATACGCGTGTAAAGACACGAATACTTTGTAAATAGACAGCTTGCTCTTGTTTTATTGATTATCCTATATACATCCAATTTCCCTACGAATCCACATATAGTTTGTTAATAATATCGTTCCAAATATTTCATAAAATGAAGAGATTATCGAAAATGATTAAATTGAAGATAATTATAATCTTTAAATCTTATCTTCGATAAGCCATCATCGAATTTATCGAGAGAAAAGTACTTCCGTCGAATATCGGACGTAATATCTCTACCTACATATCATGATTTCTATAACGGAGAAACGAATACGTATGAGGGAATTAGGCATCGACCACTAAGTAGGATTATGGTTATGTAAATGAAAGACTATCGCTTAGTTCAACCTCGGTGTAGGTAGTTAGCACTGTCCGTTTAAAACCATTACTCTCTCGCTTTCTACGAACTTTACACGCCTATTTTCCTTTTTCTTTAACTTCTCACTACATTCGAGACATCTAAAGATAACTCAAGAATTGTTATGGAAATAATGATGAATTTTCATTGAGGAATACTTTATTATTTATCCTCTTTTATTTTTACCAGAAGATAAAAATATTTATTCTTGGATTGCCTTGACCGCGATAAGTTGAACAAGATAAAGTCGGACTGTTTTATTTTTACTTGGACCAAAAATATGTCGAGGATATCGAGAGGAAGAGAAAAAAGAGAGTAAAAGATGTTCGTCTTTGATTATGCGCATCGCTACGTCAGCACGTGAGCAAACATCGTCTGGTATATACTTTCAAGGCTAAACTTTTCTCTTCTTTCTGAAATTTATTTTTATTTCTTAGCACGGTGTTGTCGAACGATTCACACGAAGAATCGTATTGGCCAATACGATCAACTACATCGACAAAACGAATGGTTTTTTTTTTTTTTCACAAAAAACTTAGGTGACGTTATTACGCTGAGAAAGTAAAATCGTTTTCTCTTCAGAAAAATCGTACGTACTGTGATTGTTACTGGGGGGGAAAAAGTAACGCATTTCGTGTGGCACTCGAATGGAAGCTGACTTCTTCACTTTGTTTCCCGTTGTCTCGTTACGGCCTCGCCGAGTCAGAGGAAGAAGAAGAAGAAAACGGAAAGGATGAGGAAAAGGAAGGAGTTACGAGGACCAGGTTGTCTCTCTCAAAAAGGGCTTCTGGTCGTATAAGAGAATATAGAGACGAGTATAGTGGTCGTAAGAGAAGGATAGAAGAAGTTCCGTCGAGGAAAACGAAGACGATGGTGAGTAGTTTCTCTTCCGACTTTCGTAACTCGGGCACGCCGCTAGAGCTCTCCATCGATAAGTCCTCCTCTTTCAGAGGACTTCCACGGCGAAAGGGATTACATCGAAGACGACGACGAAGGTCGGGGATGAGAAAGACAAAGGCCGATCTGGCGTTGCTGTTGGCGACGAGCCGAACTTCGTTTTAGTGAGGAACTTTCTTCTTCTCTTACGAAGGCTTTAATCGAGGAGAGAAAGAGAGAGAGAGAGAGAGAGAGAGAGATTGAGAGAGAAAGAGAGAGAGAGAGATAGAGAGATAGAGAGAGAAAGAGAGAGAGAGAGAAAGAGAGAGAGAGAGAGAGAGAGGAAAGAGGAATACTTCGACAGGTATTCGTTTTCCTCGTGTGGCTGGTGACCGAGAACGAAAGGCTTTTGGTGACGAGAGAAAAGGGTAGCTCTTGCTGGGGTAGCTTCGAAGAGCCAGGAGGAACGTATGCATTTCTCGCGAAGCTTGGAAGTGCTTTATTTCCATACTGCCTTCGTATGGGTACACACAGACGCTTGGTGCTGATCTCGAGAGGCACGTTGTTGCCTCTGGGGCGGTATATACGTAGTATGAACCGGATGGAAGAAGAAGAAGAAGAAGGAGAAGAAGAAGAAGAAGAAGAAGAAGAAGAAGAAGAAGAAGAAGAAGAAAAAGAAGAAGAAGGGGGAGAGAGAGAGAGAGAGAGAGAGAGAGAGATAGAGACAGTCTCGGACGTATCGTTGCTGGTCGGCTCTTTTGCCAAAGGCAAGATTGTCTTTCTTGCGAACGGCAAATAGTTGTTACCAGCAAAATATCCGCTAAGACAACGTTCCCCTTTAGGTTGTTCGAGGAATAATATTCTTCTGAAGGTTCTTCTTCCTTCCTCTACTCTCTCGTCGTACGATTTTTAAATCTCTTTCAAAGAACTCGAAAACATGAATTCTCTTTCAAGCACGTAACGCGAAAAACGTGTCAAGATCATTAACGAGCAATAACGATGCAACGAATGACGAGAACGAAAACAGACGTTGAATTTTGCGAGTGTTGTTTTTCTTGAATAAGATATTCCTTGTCCATTGTCTTGCTCGAGAATAATTGTTGTTATTAAGAGTTAGCAAGGGAAATCATGTGTTTTTTTGCTTTCTGTTTTTTCTTCTTTTTTTTTTCTCTCTCTTTCAGTCTCGAACACAATTGCAACAAAATTTCTTATGACGATTAACAAAGCCTTACCACTTGTCATCGTATTTAATTAGAAATTGGATAGTTATAAAGGAGAGACAATGGACAGAAATTATCGTTCGATAGTAATTTATTTTAATATTAATAAAATATTTATAGGTTAACAATAAATGAAATCGAATTGTTTAAAGGAAATGATCGTTTTTGCAATAAATTACAAATAATGACAATATTCATTTTTATGTCTTCACATTGATTCGATACGATTAATTCACATTATGACGAATCGCGATTTTTCTCACTATACTATAGGTCAATTCGCATCGATTGTGAACATTCAATCGCATTTTTAACGCTTTTGTTACGCTCCAAGACAAATGTCATCCTTTAGATTATTCATGATCTTTCTTTCAAGATCAAGGTCAATCCACTTGAGATTCGCTTTCCTGTAATAATTTTGAGGATGAAGATATGCATCTTGCTTCCTTTCCAGAGCGTCGAGCAGCTCATCGAGCGCGTTCAGCGAGACGAGAGAGCGTCGATTCTGCGGTGAATGGAGAAAGGTGAAAGGAAACGTTTAATAAGATGATTTCGATGACCTCACGGTAGAAGGTACGACCTTCTTGTATTGAACTTAATCTGGATCAAGATTTTTAATACATTGAATTTACAAATAAACGTATTATTTCTCGCAATAAAAATTTTTCCTGGGAACGAGAGCGTTATACGAAGAAGAACATTTCTTTGGATTAGTTTTCACGATACAGTCTATGAATCAAGCGCATAACGTTGTAAAATTCATTTCAACGAATGGACGGTAGCTCGAAGTTCTCATCTTATTGTTAGAATGTGAAATACCATCAAGCGTGCAATAAATGTCACTTGCTGCGTCGAACAGTAATTGCCGTTAATTGTGAAATATTACGAGTCAATGAATATGACAAATGATGTGCCTTACCAGAGTCCGATTATATATGTGTATGCTATCTAATTAGGTTAGCCAGATTAGTGACGCGCAGTTTCGCTCGTTTAATTAATTTATCGGCGTATCAGTCTTTACGCGCGACAGGAGCGAGAAGGGGGAGAGAAGATGCGCATCATTGCGCTTACGGTGAAGCTTAAACCGAAACGAGATATTGACCGATATTAAATTTAAACCGGTTTATTCGTAGGAGAAATACCTACATGCATAGGTAGATACGTAATACCTATCTAACTACGTAGATATCTCCGACATCGTTATACTCGATTTTCGAGTAAAATTTAGCGCCGAACTTAGTCGAGTCAATCCCATGTTAACACGTTTATACTGTCGACTACATTCGATTTGTACAGCATTACGTCACGTTACCTTTCTAAGTCAAACGATTCTCGAGTTCCTCGAGTACGCAATCTTGCCATTGAAACATCGTTAATTTATTTCAGCGTTTCAAATAATCTTGCATTTATGTCGAGCTGTTCGTGATTGTTGTTAATTCCATCTCGAATGATTAATACGAACGCAAGTCATAGAAGAAATGATGTCAGATAAGAAAAATAAACTATGAATACAATACTCAATGAACTCGATAAGATAATCCTTGGCCTATCGAATAAGAATAACAAGCGAGTCCTTGGTATTTGACTTGAGGATATTACGATAACGCACTTATTTCATTTTCTATGCAAACTCTCATGATCCGTTATAGTTCTCTCGATCCATCGTTGATCCCTCGCGTAGCAGGAGCCCTAGGCATCTTTTCGAATTCATGGACGTCACGCAGTGCATTGTTCCGCTTGATCGATCGACGCTTCTCCGTGAGGTTAATCGGAAAATCCTCGTACGAAATCTCCTCTCGTGGGATGAAAGAAGAGGAGGAAAGTGGTACGACGTCATGCCGTGGAAGAAAGACCCAAAGAGAGAGAGAGAGAGAGAGAGAGAGAGAGGGAGAGAGAGAGAGAAAGAGGGGGAGAGAGAGAGAGAATGACAAGAAAGATAAAACGTAAGAATAAGAAAAAGAAGGAAGTAGTCCAAGAGGAATTCCATAAAAATCAGTGAAATATGCATAGTGACGTGGTGGGCGAGGAAACGTCGCACCGCCTTCGATGTCTCGAGAGAAGCGAGAATCCTTGAGTAAGAAAAGAAGAGAAAAAAGAAAAGGAAAAAAAAGAAAGAAAACGTCGCTGGAAATCAAGACGAGAAAGAGAAAGAGAGAGAGAGAGAAAGAGAAAAGGACAGAGAGAGAGAGAGAGAGAGGGAGAGAGAGAGATAGAAAGAGAGGAGAAGATAAAGGAGATAAGTGTGAGTAGAAGGTAGGGTATAAGAATCCTGGTGAGGAAGTTGGAGGTAGCGTGAAATGCCGGCGTATGACGGGAGAAGGTGCCAGAAGATGAAGAAAGAAAGGGAGAGAGAGAGAGAGAAAGAAAGAGAGAGAGAGAGAGAGAGAGAAAGAAAGAGAGAGAGAGAGAGAGAGAGAGAGTAAGGATAAAGGAAAGAAGGTCGGAGAGCGAACATTCGAAACGTCTCCTTGAACGAAATCTAATTTCGGTCCCACGACGAAACTAAGCTATTTTCTCCGCAATATGCACGCGCTCGGCTGTTCCAGTCGCGTTTTCCAGCCGTTTCCAGTCAGGCAGCAATCGTTCGGAGGGTTGGAAAGAAGAGAATCGAGGGTAGCTACCTTACCCTGCTACCCCTTTTTCTTTTTCGCGAGAACGCGCCTACGTTCGGCTTCGAAATGCTCGATAAAATCGTCGCTGTTCGTGAAACCAGGCGTCGAGGCGGCTCCTCAAGTACGAGTACAAGTATACGAACGTAAAGGGATGTGAGTTAAAGGGAAAGAGAGAGTGGTGGCTTGGATGTGGCTTAGAAACATAGAGGCCGTTAGCTCGGACAACCGGAAGGCGATCGTTCATCCGGGAAACACTTAACGGACTCGGCTCGTTTGTCTCCCTGGTTCGTCGCAATGTCGGCCTTCGAGTTTCCTCTTCTCGTCGTAGTTTCTTTTCTAAAGGATAAAGAGAAAGAGAGAGGGAGAGAAAGAGAGAGAGAGAGAGAGAGAAGAGTAGACTTGCACATTTTCGTCAGTCCCTTTTATACGTGGCTTCGAGGGCGCGATGGAGCGTGGATCTTTCGATTCGCTGAGGGAATCAACCGAGAGACAGACAAGCTCGTCTCTAGTCCTCGTCACGCGTTAATGGCTGATCTCGGCAATGCGCAATTAAGGAGAATGATTTCGCTATAATTCATCCGCTCGTTCGCATTGCTTCCTGGAGATAAAAGCGTGCTCGATGATTACTGTAAATGCGAAGTCGTTCGCGTTATGTACTAATCAAGAGGAATCGTTGAACTGTCTCTTTCTCACTCTCTCTCTCTCTCTCTATCTTTCTCTCTTTCTCTCTTTCTCTCTTTCTCTCTTTCTCTCTCTCTCTCTCTCTCTCTCTCTTTCTCTCTCTCGTTTTCGCCTTTAGATCTTTCAGAATATATGTGTAGTAAACGTAAAATCTACCGAACTTATTACATAGACATTTATACATATATAGAAATATTACTCGAACCCAAAGATCTATGTGGTAGTCATACAGAGAAGTAGGTGCGAGAGAATACCAAGGAATTTCAGAAACTCGGTGATTTTGGCGAGAAACCGTCTTCATCGCGTACTGCTTTTCGTTTCTCGCGGTTAGTCGTCTCTGAGAAAAGCGTGGAGAATCTAAAGCACTGAGACGGTAATGGGTGAAATTTCTGAGGTAGCGTCGGCAAGATGCCGAGAGAGAGAGAGAGAGAGAGAGAGAGAGAGAGAGAGAGAGAGAGAGAAAGCGAGAGAGAGAAAGAGAGAGAGAGATAGATAGATAGAGAGATGGGTTCCTCCTACTTCTGCTCTCATAATTAAGCCGACGTTGGTTTTTGATGGCCACTAAAAATGTCGCGGAGGGTCGAACAGTTAAGGAGTCTTGGTAATACCGAGTGAAACGGTTCGCTTGCAAGCGTTGCTAGGTCGTAGAGAAGTGAGGGAGGGAAAGAGAGAGAGAGAGAGAGATAGATAGATAGAGAGAGAGAGAGAGACAGAGAGGAGCGAGGTTGTTGGAAAGGACGACAGAGGTCGTGGATCGAAGAAGGGAAGGGTGGCCCTTATGCTCTGATATTAGCAATACCCCGTCTCGTAAAGTTGACTGTGCGGCAATTCGAGTCACTTTGCGAACCCTTTATACACTCCCACTCTGCACCCCTTCCACGATTTTACCCTTCGTGCAAACTCGAGAAAATGTAACGTGTAAGCGAGTTAGAGAAGGAAAGAACGAGTCAAGGCATGCTGCGAGAGAGACGAAGAAATATTGAACGGGGGCAGTGATTTTAATGCTGCTGCTTCTTAAATTTGACGTCAACCCTCTTATCCTTTCCTCCTCTTTAGTGATACCAGCACCGACATCGCCACTATCACGATCACTGAGAAAGACCTCATGGAACATAGGATTAAATCGTTGTACCAATCTTTTTCGACATTAACTCGCTTATATACTTAGACTTAGAGATTTTCGGGCTCTTTGTCAATCGTTATCGTGACACACTTGAAATCATACTCGTGAAATCGGTCTATGGAAGATTCTATTTCTACTGGCTGGAAGGCGTCTGTTGAAAATCGAAGAGAAATGTAGACGTTCTATATAAAAGTTTCTCTATGCAAATCGGTTTACATACGTGAGATTGGAATAATTCGATTTTAAGCATCGCGAGAAAGAAATGCAAAGGTACTCGTGAGAAGAAACGACTACGTTCTTAGTGTAGCGATTTTTCCTATCTTTCTTCGAACATAAATCCCTTTTTTGAATTTCTATATCGAAGCAAGTGAAAATGGTGATGAAGATATAGTGGGATAAGAAGGGGAGGAAAAATAGGATTTATTCACCCGTTGCGATTAAAACGTGGAATAGAAAAATGCAGGGAACTTCTTGTTACAATATCCATTCGATATTTATTATTAAACGTAGATAAGTACATGCATGTTTTAAGTAACCACGGCGACTCGTCGATACTCGTGCAATCGCAGCTACTTAAGTAATGACAATTATCTTGTTATTATTTCCAATTACAATCAACCTTTTGCGATAGGTAATTAAACGAATGGCAGGATAGGGAGGAGATAGAGGGAGGGCGGAAGAGCTGGTGGAACACCCTGCCACACCTCTCTGATTTAATAAGTTCATTACCTAATGAACAGATGTACGCGCGAACACCCCGTAAGCTCCGCGGCCCCTTCGAGCAAGCCGGTCACCTGCCGATAATCAATACTTTTAATTATCGCATTTTTATGAATTCGCCCGTAGTTTAGTTTTAATTGGATATTAAATCGATGATGACCATGCGCCTCGCCCATGCTGGACATTCGAAGCAATTTAGGCAGCCCTAATTAGTACACCACTATTAATTTACTGCTCGTAAACCAAGCAGTTTCCGCGCTCGTACGCGTCACGAATAAACATCCGATCTATTGATTCTTTGCCAATTGCATAATCGTGGCTTTAATTATATTCCATGTTATAAAGTAGTATCGTATTTATGTCCGGATTGTTTATGAGGGGATCGTTCACACGATGCTCGATGAGGAGAAACACGACGAATCCGATTTTCCTCTTCGTTCAACTCGCGCAAAATAGAAAAGTGTAATGTGATTCGTGACATCCCGCGAATACACGGATATACCTACCT